TTTTTATGAGCTATATATAATTATGTTTAAAAACAGAAAAAAAACTTTAGTTTGATTTAAAATAATGTTCTTAGATTTTTTAAAATAGGAATTTTTATTAAAACATATCATGAACAAATAATCTTCGATTTGCTCTAAATGAATCAGTTCAACTTTAAACATTCAATAATATATATTTTCAACTCAATTCCAAATTTTGTTTCCAAAATTTATTGAATCATTTTTTAGATAATAGTCAATTAGAAAAAAAAAACATTTATGAAAATAAACGAGATTTAATATCACTCGATATAATTTTAATTTTGAAAAAAATTTCTAGTTATAGACAATGTTTCTCAAATAAAACGAATGCACTGAGAAATGTCGAAAAGTTTGAAAACGGCAAGAGCAAAAATCTTATTGTAAAAACGGTCGAATGAAAATTGTCTGATCTGACAAATGATCAAAGAGCATGAGGCACAACTTCTAATGAAATTAATAGAGTGTACAATACAAAATTTTTCCATAGAATATAGATAGAGATAAATTAATCACCGCTTCCTCTCAGGCAAAAAAAAGTACAGCTATAATGATTAGAATTTAAGCCATTAAAGTCTAACTATCAGACTAGTTGATGAAAGAAATGACTGAAGTATACACAAGGATATCTAATTTTATAAATACTGTGATGTGTCATACTTTTAACATATTCATACTCTTATAAAACAATACACAAGGGTGTGGATGAATATCAGACCTATACCCATAGCCTTAAAAATCTAGTTTCGTCCATTTTTTCTTTCTCCAACAACATCAACTCTACTAAGATTTTATTCTTGCCGTCTTCAAAATGTTCGACATTAATCAGGCATATCAAATAAAAGTGAACTATGAGATATAATATAATATTGAAATATTTTATTATTTTGTTCAATTTCTTAAGATCTCTCTTTGAATGTATTACAAAAAAGAATCACTAGATTCGTTATCATACTACATTAAGTTTTCGAAACTCAAGTCAATTTAATAAATATTTATCATTAAAAATTTTGGATAATGTTGATTAACATGTAAATATAAAAACTTTGTCAATTTCTCATTATTGTTAATAACATCATGAATTTTCATTAAATAATGAAACATCAGGTTTTTAATAAATAGTTTTTTCGTAAACACATATGCAAAAACACTAATCTTTAATTTGTCTATCAAGTAGAACTTTTATTTCTTTAAATGATATATAATTTAAAATGAAAAAAAAAAATGTTTATTAACTAAAGAACTACAATAATATTAAGGATGAATAAACGGTTACTAAACGATTCTATTCAAATGTATACATAATAATTTTCAACTTTGATATATTTTATTTTTGATTCATCTATTTCTTAATTAATTATATAATAAAAATTTTATTTCTGTAGTCTATGTAAAAAATTACGGGGATTTAACCCAACATACAATTAATCGTTTCGAAAACTAAAGACATACACTAAATAATGATATTATTAATAATAATTTGATTGTTTAAATAATTGAAAATAGTTTTTAGTAAAAATAAAATAATCTCATTTTGAAAAATGAAGAAAGATAATCTCTAATACAATTCATCACAAGTGAGACATATGACGAATTGATAAAATGTTTTGCCCCTAAAACCTGCTGTGTAAGATGAATGACGTATTTATCATGACTAATGTCAATATGAAAGTTGAAGAAAAGATAAAAATTTTACCCTCGATATTTGAAAACAACTATAAAAAAAAGAAGTGAGTCGTTTTTTTTCCTTTATAAATTACATTTGATTAATATTATTAATGAAAACTACTGGTAAATCAAATATTCCTTTAATTTCAAATAGTTTTGTAACATGTTATTCAGATTATCTTGTTATACATTTATATTATTTTCCATTTGGTAATAAAAAAGTTAAATATAGTGATATTCGATTATGTGAATTTCATTCAACAGATGAACTTGACATATTTTCATATAAATTATGGGGNAAGTCATGAGAAGTATCAAGTTAAAAATAATTTACATCAAGACCAATTCATTTTTGATATGATTTATCCAACATTTGAGCTGAAAAATGCGACGAAGTATATATAGCAGTTCTCTTTTACTTCCAACAGTTTTTAATCATACATTTTTAAGAGAAGCCAAAAAAGTATCGCTAAAATATAGCAGAAATATGAGAGTAAGAAAGTTTCTTATCAATCATGTTAGCTGCTTTGCTTATATGAACAATTAGTGACTGTCAATACTTTGTTAATGCTGGTTGAGAACAGCTTGCCGATTGATGTGTGAAAACTTGCTTTATGGCTGGTCAACAGTTCTTTGGTCGTTTTAGAAACTTTATCATATTCATATATATCCGTTGACTGTTTCTTTAATTTTTGTTCCTTTAACTATATGCGAGAGTAGTAGGTCCATAGCAAAGATTGGTGCGTCAACCAAAACTGCGACTCGCCAGCGCCTCGCAATACTAACAAGTTATCCATTGCCGCCTTGCCTCGTCTCGTCTACGATCTATTACAAAAACGGGTTTTTTAAGGACGTTCTTCGACCAACCACAATAATCACTTTCTAGATTATTTCTTTTGATCAAGTTAAGTACATTTCATACATATAGATAAGTACAAAAAACAAAAATACAAAATGAGATACAAATAAATAATGCAGTGATAATGGTTCAATGAGTTTTTGTCGAAATTCAGATCTGTATTGATTAGCTAATATTTCGACGTGAGACGAAATAGTATTATCACCAAAAAATACGTTATCTACATGAATTTTCCATACTTTGCCTCTATAGAGTAAAATAAGAGAATGAAAAAAGAATATTTAAGAATAGGTTATGAAATACCCAAAGAAATACATTGTTGAACAAAAAGTTGAAGTCTTTGATTATTAGCCGTCGAGTATGGTCTGACCTTTGTACAAAACCATTCTATAAGAAGGTTTTCTTTTTTTTCTTTTTTCTTCGCTTGTTTTGATCGATTCTCGGCGGCTGCGGGTGAAAGAAAGCATTTTTTGTTATAAAAGTGATCAGGACGTTGTATCAGAGTGTTTTGAAGATCGTATTGGTGAACATCCACAAATGCATTTGTTCATTTGCGAGGTGCTATTATTATTGTAAGAATATGTTACATAGCGATGTTTACATCAGACAAGGTTGTTTAATTTTGTCACCATTAGGACTATGACAGTTCGGAAAAGGTTCAAAACTGAAGAACTGTTCGAAAAACAGAGCTGAGCGGAACTGTTCGAACAGTTCCCAGAACTGATAAGATCCAACTCCGTGTGGACCTACCTATAAGTCTTCATGGCTTATCCTATAGGGGTACCCTTGGATAGCCCATGAGAGTCTAAGAGTACCGCTATAGGATAGACAATGATGACCTAAGGGTAGCCCCATATGATAGACAATGACGACCTTAGGGTAGCCATATAGAATAGAAAATGACGACATAAGGGTAGCCCTATAGGATAGCCCATGAGGACCTTAGTGTATCCCGATATGATATCCTGTGAAGACTTATGAGTACCCCTATATGATAGGCAATGAAGACCTGAGGATACTCCCATAGGACTGCCCATGAGGACATAAGGGTACCCCTACAGGATAGCCCATGAATACTTATGGGTACCCCTATGGGATAGATCATGAGGACCTAAAGGTATCCCTGTAGGATAACCCTTGAGAGCTTATGGTTACCCTCAGAAAGTCAGTTCTTATCAGTTCTAGGAGCTGAGCTGAACTGTTCGAACAATTCAGCTCATTTCGGAAGAATTGTTCAAACAGTTCTATGGAGTTGTACTAAAATGTTTGAACAGTTCAGTCCAGTGTTGGAGAACTGTTCGAACATCTCAGTGCAATTCAGGAGAACTGTCGAAACAGTTCCTACGAACTGAACTGAACGTTCACAACAGTTTATAAGCTTTTTGAATTCAGTTCATGAGCCGGAACTATCGTAGGTCTAGCCACCACAACACTTTAATTATTAGTAACACCTGGAAAACCAAAGTGCGACTAGCATCTCACTGTATGTGTGCTCGTATTTTTGACTATGGTTAGATTTTCATCTTTACGCATGCCAATTATAAATCCTTCTACAAGACATTCGAGAAATATTTGACAATGTATGATGAGCATTGCGAGAATCTGAACAAATTTCCTCTGTTACATCAATAATATGATCAGAAGAACAATAGTTTTCCGAGCAATAATACGTATCTAGATTAAAATTTTTATCGTAAAAATTTCTACTAGCTAACATAACAAAGGTCGCATTAGTTAAATTCACAATGGTAATTGTGTAAGACTCCAAACAGACTGAATTAATTTAAAGTCAATTAACCAATGTTATTGACGTCGTTACATGGTAACACCAATCATGTTGCTTAATTCACTTTGAATTGAGTCAGTCTGTTTGGGACCTAAATAAAATTATTCGACAGACCAAATAGATAACTCTGTTTACGTAAATATTCATATTCATTTATTGTTGTGAATAGTTTAACTTCATCATCAATAGAAATTCTTTCGGAAGTGAACAATAAAATTGGAAGATAACATTAATGATTTACTATTTAATCACTAACAATTACATTTTAAGTAGTTGAGTTGAATTGGCGAGCCTTAAAATCAACTCGCACGCATCGTGGTGCGGGAAATCTTGTCTCGTCTCGCTTCGTGGCGAGGCGGGAAAACTCGGCGAGCCTGAGATCTCTGATCTATAGCTCTTTATTCACACAGGTTATGCATGATGGCATAGTTCCTTTCAGTAGCGGGTGAGCGACGTTTGCGTCGCGCTACTTGTATGTAAGAGTGGAGTGCACGTCGGTTTCGTTTATTTTGCACAGATGCAAAAGGTGTGTCAATAGAGATTTGCGCACTTCCTTTAGTGTAAGTTTTTATTTTTTTCACAATTTCCAAAAAAACATCATAAACTCATATTCATAAGAAGTGGTATTGCTCATAGTTTAGTGATCACTGAAAGAACGAATTTGATATCATGAACGACCGTTTATCGTCAAATCAACTTCAACTTGAAGTACTTGCGAATGAACTCTTTCTCGAAATTTTTCAATACATTGATCCCATCGATCTGCGTAGTTTCAAAGGTCTCAACAAACGAATAAATTGTATTATTCAAGCTCTGAAAGTGAATTTTGTTGTACAATGTCAAGAGAAAGATGAATTCAATTATTTATCGATTTTCACTCCAGCACAAATAGTTTGTTTGAAAATACGTAACTACTGTTTGTCATTGAATTTGAATACGATGACTGAACTACGTTCACTTACACTTGATTGCACTTATCTTTCAAAAGAACAACTAGATCAGGTAACTTGTGTAATTTAAAGAGTTATATTTAACATATTTGATTATAATTAAACTCATTTAGGTAACGAAAATCAGACTACTTCGTTTACAACGACTCTCAATTGAAAATGTAATGCATGATTTACAAGCACCTTTACTGGATGCTATTTTTCGTGGTGAACATTTTCCATTACTTGAAATATGTCAAATCAAATTGAGATATCATTACAATTTGGAAAACAATGATAGTGAATCATTACTAAATAATGTACTCCGTTCTCTTGCTATTAACACATGGAATTGGTCCAAACTAGGTTGGCTTCTACATCAACTACCTAATTTACGTCGATTTGAAACAAATTTTGCAGAATCGTATGATTCAATGATAAATTATATTCAACCTCATCTATTAATCAGGCATTTAAAAGTTACTCTCAACGATCCTTTGTATGATTTAGAGAAGTTTCTTAAATGGACACCCAATCTCACTCGACTACGTATCCGAGGAAAAATCAGAGACAATGATGTACTCAAACATTTTGAGAAAATGGCTGAATTCTTACCGATGATTGTTCCTCATCTACAATATTTCGATTGTGAGCTTTATTGTTATACTGATGACAATGAAGCACATGATCTAATTATACGACAGCTTCATCCACTTTTCAACAAAATACGATGTCTTTTGGGACGAGCTCAAAATAAATGCTATGCCACAGATATTATGATATATCCACTTGACAATGAATATGAATGTGAGTATTTTCATCGTGTAGGTATAAAGTTTCTCTTTCTCCACATTCATACTGACATCCTCATGAGAGTTCAGAACTGATTCTATTAAGCTATCGTACTTGTTGAACATAGATTTTGTAATATAAGCTCAAACTCATTTTGATTTATCGTTTAGTTATCGAACAGCCAACTACGTATCATAAAGTAAACTATCACAGCTCCCACTGCCGCTTCCGCAACTTCAACGGCTGCTTCTTTAACGGCTGCCCCTGCAGGCATCGTGATGGCTATGGTAGGTTTTCGAGTGACTACTATGATTATGATCACTAGCATGGTTTTTGTTCTTCACACTGCTGGTGATGATGAAAATTATAAAAACAACTATGGATCGTCCCCGTGGAACGGAAACAACAATTCAATAAAACGGCGATTCGTAAAAACAAATAAAAGTAATTTATTTAATCAAGATTATTCACAAAGAAATAAATTGTATATATAAAATCCTCTTATATATG